ATTTTGAGCTAAATCAGATGTAATCATGCAGGTTAAACTTCTTCAGCGGGGCCTCCGGCAGCGACCAGCCCGCCACAGATAGACCCAGATCCGGCTTAACTGAAGCTTTCGAGCAGAGCTTCGCCTTGCTGCTCGGCCGGGCCCCGCTGGGAGCCAACACCGACCCCATGCTGCTGGAGGCCCAGGCCATTTTCCTGGAGGGAAGGGAGCCACGGGAGAACCAGAACCAGGACTGAGTGTAGCTGATGGTCAGATCCTGCTGTAGTCAAATTTGTTTTCTTTTTTTTTTTTTTTTTAAAGGGATTCTGGTGCTAATCACTTCAATCATAAAACTATTTTTTCCACCTGTTCCTAAATCATAAACACCTGAAAGAAAGGAATTCAGATCAGACTTAGAAAATGGGTCACCAGAATTTGTTTCTCTCACGAGCTTCTCAGGGCTTCTGTATACATATTACGTTACAAGTAACATATTTTTTCCAAACACATTCATTTTGTAATGAGTGCAGTGTCTCCAAAAGAAAACAGCTGCTGTTGGCTTCTTCTAGAGATCCTACGTGAATGACTCACAATCTCTACATGTTCTCGTGTGTGAAAGCATATATTTAAGTGCATAAATGGTTCTACCTCAGATCTTCATCAGGTCACTTCATGATTTGTCTCTATAAACTTTGTCTGGTTAAAACCTCGCGGTTTCCAACTCCACCCCCTCAGACTGTCACACAAGCTTTCTGTTTTTGTGGTCTCCGAGCCCAAGCTAAGATACCCAGGCGATGTCACTTAGGCCGACTCCAGACAAAGCTTCTTCAGAGCCACAGACAAATTTAAAAATCAGGACTGATTACTCCCCGTGGCCATGGCAGAAAGTACTGTACATCACCTTCTTGGCTTGCTGAATAATGGCTGAATTTCAAAATGTTAGAAATCACATTTCTACACTCTCCCTGGCTGTAAAGATGATTTTACCTAAACAGATTCTACCAGTTTCAGAATAAAACCAGAAGGTAAAACCAGAAGTTAAAACCTTACTAAATTGACTCCCGCTGAGTTCGACCTCTGAAATGAGAACAAATGCCATTTAATCACTTTCTTCTTGGATATTTTTAAAATCTTATTTCCAGTCACTGAGTCATGATTCCCCAGTTTCTGTGAGCAACGTTATAAACGCTCTGGAAGAGAAAAGGGTTTTCAAAGTAGAGCAGGCTTCTCAGCCAGTCTGTTCATGTCACAGACGCTGACATGCTCAGCGTGTGATTGGACGTGTCTGGCTCCTCATCAGGGCACAGTGTTCCTGGGCTGACCAACTCAGTGTTCTATTGATTAGGCCTTTGGCAACCCAGGCAGATTTATTCTCTTATTAGGGGCTCCTAATGCCTGATCAGGACAGATTAAAGGTCTGCCACTGCCTCCAGCTACACTATCAATTAGATCCTTTTATTAGGACTGGATGGCTGTATCGCCATAATTATACCAAGGACTAGGCACTGGGATTGTACAGCAGGCAGAGAGCTAATGACGAGTCTTGGCTAATTGGAAAAAGAGTAAGAAACGCTATTGACTTATGTAATAGAAGATGATTATTAGAGCAGAACTGAATATGTTTTAATTTCAAGCAAAGCAGGACCATTCATTTTCCCTCTGGAGGCAGAGCCACAATCACATCTTCTCAGAGTGCATCCCAAATTAGATTTATGACCAAGCTCGATAAAAACCCTCACCAGTCACTTCTGATTGATTACCCATCACTTAAAAAAATATTATTTTTGGATCAATCATTCATGCATTATGCCAGCCAATATATATAACATCCAACTGTAGTAGTATGCTCATCTGTGGGTTTCTCTCGCACTGATTTCTTATTCTTTGGCTACTCAAAAGTTATCATTTCATCTTCTGTACCACACTTAAGTATAATAATCATCAGTAGTCCTCGCCTGCAGGCTGCTCGTTCCCTCTGTGGACGAGGCAGGACAAAGGAGAGGCGGCTTTTAACACCCAGGTGTGCAGTTAAGTCAGTTTAATCCTCTTATCTCCACTCAGGGAGGCTGAACATCGGAGGACTTAAAATGTCCTCTCCGTCTTTTATCATTTGCCATCAGGACAATTTCTCAGAGGATCACATTTTGCTCATACTGCAACCCAGTGGGCCAGCCCACATCCAGGGGTGATGCGATTGACTTCTAATTGACGTGGGCTCGGCCCGGACACCTTCCACCCCCCACCACCACCCCCCTCCAGTCCTACAGGAGCGTGTCGAGCACAAAGCAAACATACACGCATACACAGAAACCCCCAAACATGCAGAGGCACATTATCTACTGTGGTTGCTCGGCAACCAAAACAGAGACAGTCACATCGGCAACATAACGGTTAATTTGTATCCAGCTGTGTCAGCAATGGGTAGCCAAAACTGAATATGAGATATTCCTCCAGCTTAGAAGAAAGACTCCGAGTCAAAAAGCTGTTTCTGGATAAATGACACCCTGTAAACAATAAAATAAGGACATGCAATTTGAAATTCATTATCTACTTAGAATATCTTATTCTCTGACGATGGCATATTTAAATAACTTGGAATGAATCAGAACACACGTGAATACGCTTCTTCTTCTAACATGCTAAGCACCTCTGCTGTCAGAGGCAGGAGGTGAATCTCACACGATGCGTCCTTCTACACGAATATAGTGGAATTCAAGTGCTGATCTCCGAGCGACGTGCCTCTGTGTGCTGTCGGCCTTGCATTTAATGAACGCCTTCTTTCATCTTGCGCACACGAGTAGGTATTGCAGGGGAACATAAATTCAAATCACAGCTCCAAACACAATCATCCCACTTACGTGTGAAAGGAAAAGAAAAAGGCATCTCTGAACTGTTGATGTGCTGGCCACGGCTTGAATACAGAAGAAGACGTGTTTTAATTTTGAACACCAGCCTACTGAGTGCTGGCTTTAAATGCATGACGTGCAATTTGAAACTGCAATGTTTACTTACAAAAGGAATCCCTATCTCCCCTCTCTGTCTGGTTTATCCTCATCACGTCAAACACTTGTGGTCTCTGCGCTCTTTGTTCTGCTACTCATTCACGACCCACTTTGACGCATTTGTTTATCGAGTTTCTGAAATGGACATTATTTCCAACACAAATCCAATCCGGACCTAATGCAGGACTATGCCCGAACAATATTATTCTCCTCGTAACTGTAACAAAGCAAGAGGAGCATTTAGTGAACTTGGATGAAACGGGCACATTTTCAACATGGCGTGAATGTTTTTCATGCTGACACGGGGACATTTTACGAGTGGATTGATGGACTCCGTTTACATTTTTGTACTTTTATCTGGTTAAAAATCAAAAGCCTCCTTCAGCAGTGGGACTTGATCAGTACTGATGGAGCTTTCAAAGTATGGTTGAGGTACCTTATAAGGTGGGGGCTCTTGTGGAAGCCCCTCTATGTACTTTCATCCTTCATTCATTAAACAGACTAGGGAGCCAGGGAGACACTTAAAAAGGACTGCTTCCTCTGCCTACACTAACATGGGACCGATATACACAACAAGCTGTGAATCTAATAAGCAATTTATGTGTCCCTGTAGTAGGGAAGCGTCCTATCAGGATGCACCATCAGATGAAAAAGGTGAAGGTGTCTTGCTACTCAGGTGCTCGTATGATTAAAAACAAATTACGCCCAGTGGGGGGATAATACAGCAAACGAGTATTTGTCCCATTTGGACAGAGACAAGTTGTGGGTAAATTCTAGGCACTAAAAGGGATCTAAATTATCGTCCACTAGTACAGGCGAAACCTGACAAGCAGATCAACATTTCCAACCACAATACTGTAACTGTGTCAGCTTGTGTTTTACTCAACCACACAGATGGTTTTGTTAATGATAATGGTTGCCAGCTTTAAGCAGCTCCACAAGACAACATGACTCCCGTCTCTTTGAGGAAATAAGAAAATGGAAAAAAATCAAATGAACTCTTCTGCTGATGCCAGGCACATTCAATCAGCAGTTAGAAGAATGCAGGAGGTGGGAGGACTGGAAGTTTGCACAAACATATGAAAGTTAATGAAGAGCTCCCTTGAAATAAACGCCTTCCTCTTCCAACCTTATGCGGGACAACTTTCTGATTGCCATCAACGGTTCAATGCAGAGAAGGAGCATCATACTTCCTTCCAGACTAAATTAAAATCCCAGCAGTAATCTCCCACAACCATTGTCCTGTCCGTTGCTCCTTCATTGACTTCTCACAACTCCTTTCTGATAATAGGAAACACAGGCCATTACATGTCTCCAACCCCCCAGCGTCTGACAGCCACTCCTGTCCGAGTCCCACTAAGAAGAACTATAAAAGCATCCGCCACAGACCTCTGTGGTCCACTGAGCAAACACGTAGCGGTGTCGACATGACTTATTCCTGAAACACATACATCAAATACTAAGCTTTGTATTTATTGTACCTTCCATCTGCCATGCAGACGCTCAGGTGGTAAGGCATTGGAGTTGCAGTGTAGTATGGTTGCTGAGATTAAAGCTTCTGAATTTCTTAATCACAAAAATGAATAGTAAATTATCATCAACCAAACTGCGTGTGTTACACTGTATGGCCAGAAGCATGTGGACACCTAAACATAAGATCTAAATGTGACTGTTGAACATTCTAAAACCACAGGTGTCAAGTTCAACCACAAATAATGTGCACTGGGTTATTGTTATAAGCCCTAAAGTATGTGTCCATGTAGTGCAGTCCAGTAACAGTGTTAAAATAAAGGAGATAAATGGTAAAGCCAAAGCAACAAATGTCCCTTGTGACACTTTTTTTTCACATCTTTTACTTGTTACTTGTTGAATAACTTAAAGGATGCTTGTAGGCAGACGCTCAAACTGCAAGAAGGTGATTCCACTTCCCTCTCTCTCAAGGCACTCACAGATACACACAAAAGAAGCCACTCTCACACTTGTGACTTCCATTTCAAGCTGAGCAGGCGCGGGACTCACCCCGTGAGGACGACCACGAAGTCCATTACATTCCAGCCGTTGCGGAGGTAGGAGCCCTTGTGAAAAGCAAAGCCCAGGGCGATGATCTTAATGGCGGCCTCGAAACAGAATATTCCAATAAAGTAGGGCTCTGTGTCGTCCTACAGGGAGACAGAGAGAGGTTGAGAGTGAGAGAGGAAGATCTTTTTGTTGGAGGTAAAAGAGTGGTTAATGAAGCATCGAGTAAAAGAGAGGGGGGGTAAGTAAAGGAATGAAAGAAAGATGGCTCCTTTCACTTCTTGCAGCAGCATGAACAGAAGTGCAGGAAGTGGAGCCCTCTTCTTAGGATGAAAAGAGAGTAAATACAGTGAAAACAAATATTCACACACACAGTACAATCTTAAGGGCAATGGTAAATCAATGGAGCTTCAGGCCTGCTCATTTAATGCATTCAAGCATATTAAATAAACTATTTAAGTAGTCAACTAGTGGGGTACATGAGTCCAAGAAAACTGCCCCTGGGCCAAGCAGCGGGGTACTTGGACTATAGGGGAATTTGGGCAAAATGAGGCCTAGAAGTGGAAGGGGCGTGGAGCAAGCTGAAGGGCATATGGGGGCCTTTGGGCACTAGAGGAGAATTTGGGCCACCTAAGTTGGAATTTGGGCAAACCAAGAGGAAAGTTGGGCTGTTCAATTTCCCCTCTAGTGTGACATTTGGGCAGAAATAAAGTATGGAAGCATTTAGGGACCACTACGGCCACCTGGGCCAAACACATGGGCATTTGGGTGGACCAGTCGGATATTAGGACCAACCACAGGGGTAACTAAAGAGGTACTTGGGCCATTCAAGTGCCGCTTTGGCATGTTACTGTGCAAAAATGAAGCATGGAATTGGCAGACACTTGGATCGACCACAAGGGTACTTGTGGGCCTCTTGGTATAAATCACAGGGGTAAAAATGAGGCAGTTGGGCCAACCAGAAGGACATATGTACAGATCAAAGGGGTACTAGGGCCAGGGAATAATGGAAATGAGCGGTACATGGAGTGACCAGAGTAGGACTTGTGCTGCTTAAGTGTGAAATTAGGGCAAATCAGAAGCACAACATTATCCCAATAGGAAAAACACATTCCTGTTTGAAAGTGCACTTTAGCACTGAGGGCATATGCACAACACACATGACTGGACATGATTGATTTGGACCCTCTACGTTATTCCCTAAGAGTGTCAAACAACACAGCTACAGTGTGATCATTTGTGCTCTGTGGCTGGGTGAACCCTGGGCCTTGCTGTAAGTAAGGGAGGTGGATCAGGCGCGTGTGACGTGACACTTTATCCTTTGCCTCCATTAATATCAGCTGGAGCCTGGGGCGATGCACAGGGCATGAGCAGAAGATATCTCACGCCTACACTAACCCTCGCCCCCCTCCCTCGACCTCACTCCTAGCATACCACAACCTGACAGACATTGTCCTCAACCCCCAGCATTACCCAGCTTTCAACACAAACAATCATGCAGAAGCAGTGTGACAGGCCTGGGCCCAATAAGAAATGTGACCTTTTCTATAGCACTGGCTGACTACAGTGAACATCTAGAGACTATGTATGGAGGTGAGTTGCTGTATCGTGAAGGCTGTGGTGATAAACTGTTCGTGTCCAATAGGAGCCTGCAACATTTCAACAAAGACAGGCATTGAATGTGTCATAAAGTATATTAATTTAGACATGCTATACAAACAATATTCACAGACAAAACAATTAAATGTGGTATTTAATAACAGGGCCAGAGGGCTGCCTGGATAAATGTCTGTCCTTGGAGCGTGTTAACATCTATTATACATACATCTAAAATACTCCTGAATTATGAATACGCTTGCAGAAGACGGCTGGGGAAATCCTCAAGGACCATGGCGCTAAAATCCAGCAATGGATCTGAAATACTCATACCGAGTCGCTTCCATCATCGCCTCCACTTACTGCACGCCTCCTACTCTGTTGACAGAGCTTCATAAATAATAGCTGATCCCTTGTTCTAATTAAAAGGCTTCTCGTTGTATTACATCCTTGAGGTGGAGGAGGCAGGGAGCAGATGCTTGTTTTTCTCCTTTGTGTAGCCGCTCTAATCACTTTCTCAGGTGCTGAATGCTACCGTTTTTGTTTTGCTAGTTGTAACATCTTCACTGATGAATTTCCATCGCACCCGCAGCGATAATTCAAAACGGGAGCAGGTGGTTGAATATGAGAGGAATTCAGCGACCTTTTTTTTTTTCCACATCAAGCTGTTGCTCTTTGTAACACTCCCTGGCTCTCTATTTAAAGACAAACTCCCATGAGCTACAACACCCTCATGTACAAGCACAGCAAAGTGCTGAACCATGAAGGTGCATGCTATTCAGTTTGCCTTTTCGTCCCCTGCTACACAGGGCGGGATCTGCGTCTTGACCTCCCTGTGCAACAGTCTCTTTGGTTTCTCTCCAAAACTGGTTAGCTATGTATTGGGGGGGGGGGGGGGGGGGGG